TAGAAAACTCCACATTACATTACGTTACGTTACATTCGGCACCTCTCTTAGAAAACTCCACATTACATTACGTTACGTTACATTCGGCACCTCTCTCAGGTTCATCCTGAAAAGTAACAGCTAGCTGTATAACGCATTGGCAATTTTCAATGTATGCTGTTAGCAGAGAACATCCAAAAATGAGCCATTATTTAATTAAACAGCCATTTGCTAATTACCATAAATACCATCTATTTTTAATCATGTGGTCAATTTTTTAAAACAGGTGTTTACTTGAGCATTAATAACAAATTCAAACCTTTGAGGATAACTTAATTTAGAGATTGGCTACCTAGGTATGTCGCTAAAACAGCCTTGGTGGCAATGGACTTTGAGAATGAGAACTTGATTCTTAACTCATACTCAATGTAGCCTGAATAACTAAAACACTGCTGGACAAAAACATTTGAGGTGCAATAGAAGTTGTAGTTCTAGGCTTATTAAGCAGTCTACACTAACGTGAAACAATTAACTGAAAAAAATCTACAGCATTCATCTGTCTTGCTATCAGATTTGCCCACCAGTCAAGCATCTACAGATGTAAACTAGCGATTGCGCTACAATCTGGCTCATTTACAAGCATTACTTGATTATTTCATTGTAGTGTTTGTTCATTAATGTGCATTGTCCCAAATAAATAAATAAATAGTAGCCATCTAGTAGGATGGGCAAATTCATGGATGGATGGATGGATGGATAATATTTGTTCTATAAGGCCAGACCCAAATTTGCCTTCTCTGCTTGACAGTCCTTGTTTTGTCACTGGCGCTGGTCTCCTGAAGGACAAAACCACAGCAGACCTGCTTATTAAAGTGCAATATCCGTCTTTCCACTCACAGCCATTACTCATCAATAGCTATTGAGCAACAAGTGTTTAACAATCATCACACAATGGTATGTCCCCATCCCCCCCTGCCCCCCACAAGGCCAAGAGGGGAATAAAAGTGACACTCTTTGCGATGATGAGGAGGGGACAAAACCAATGTCACAGCTGCGAAAACAATAGTACAGCACCCAGAATTATCATGCAGCTTGGGAGTTGTGCTGTGGGGTCAATGGCCAATCCAGAAGGTGGGGGCCCAAAAAAGTATTAAACTCGCTGTTGCCAGAGTCCCAGCCGCAGTGTGACCACCTCACACAGCGATTCATGATGTGCAACGGATTCTTTTGCACATCTTTGTGATGTCAGGAACTCGGGACACATAATAGGCTGCATCACATTGTTTCAGTTCTTAATTTTAAAAAAGTCATTAAATTGACCCAGATAAACTTATTTAGTGAAAGCATTAAAACGCTTCTTTAGAAGTTACAAGTCATTCTAAACAGCCCATATTGAAAAAGCAAAATACTACTTATAGTTAACTATAATTTTTATAATTCGAACAACTATATATCAGTAGATATAAAATTGTGGCTGAATGCACAGCTTGCTGGTGCCACCAGAAGAGCACTGTGCATGGGCAGGGTCGTCCTGGTGGACCAGGGGTCTCCAACTCCAGTCCTGGAGAGCTACTATCCAGTAGGTTTTCTGTCCCACTTGGCTTCTGATGAGCCACACCTGTTCCTGGTATTTACCTGAGAACAGGTGTGGCTCATCAGAAGCCGGGTAGGATAGAAAACCTACTGGACGGTAGCTCTCCAGGACCGGAGTTGGAGACCCCTGTGGTAAACTAACCTGCTGCGTTTATTGCAGCACTGTGACATGCGGTCCTCTTACCTTCAGTGTGCGGTCATGGTCACCACTACACAGGGAATTCACTGAGACCTTGAAGGTTTTCCAGACTGGGTTCAAGTTGTTCATGACAGTCTGTAAAAAGGAAGGGCATACAGGGGTCACTGGAGAGGGATCGCCACTGGTCAGGGGTACTGCGGAGGGGTCACTGCTGGTCACTGATGACAAGGATGAGTCTCACCTCGGTCCTGTGCACCAGCTGCAGTGTGGTATCATCGTTCATCCGGAAGATTTCTAAGAATGGGTCCGACTTGCTAAAAAAATCCTAAGAGCAACAGAACCAAGGACTGAAAAACAGACATGAGAAAGAAACTATGGCTGGCCCACCCACCTAAGTTACCTGGGGGGCGTCTGCAAGGATTAAGCTTTTAATATTTAGTCTCCTGAGAGGAGGTCACTGTATCCACTTTTCATATTTGTAAACCTGAGTGGGAAATATTGAAAATAAAATACCCAAAAACATCACAAAAAATGTCAATGACTTTAATCAGCTGAACACTGGAATACAAATAAAACCGTCCAGACAGACTGGAAGTGCTTCGGCTTAACAAGATCACATCAGAACCAGGTCCAGACTAGAGCCTGCAGACCTGATCATTCTGACACCTGTGCAGGTTCTTTCCCGAGTGGATACCTGCGTTAATTCATGAGATGAATTCCCACCGGTCACGGATCTATCCACTGGCTACTCGCTGGTGTTGCATTACTCCCTGAGTCTGTGTGACATTGAATATTTAAAAATAGCATTTCATCGATATATTGTAAGGAAGTGAAGTACCCCCCAGTACCTCTGTGACAAGTGGATGTCATTCCTTCCTTCTAGTGAATTATTCATTGCTCTGAGCTGTGGAGTAATGCCTGATGGACAGAAATTCCTTGGACTTCTCCTCCACAGACAGGTGGTGTAGGATGAGGGACTGGAATGGCCGTTTTAAGCAGTACAGGGTAATCATTTATGAGTCTGCCCTACTGGGCTTTTACAAATTCACTATAAGCCTTTATACTTCATTGATCAACTGACACTCTTTTCCAGAGGAAACTCACCATTTGACCCAGTTATACAGCTGAGTAATTTGCAGCAAAAATCCATGATAAAAGTCTTGAACCACCTGGCACTCAAACCAGAAACCATCTGGTCTTTGTTTTGGAACAATGGTACAGGAGAGGGTGGGATGGCTCAGCAATCAGCATCAGATACATCCTTCTTGTCAAAGCCAGTCACACTTCCTGTTCCACACCATGGGCCACTGAACGAGGCTGTGATCTTCCTGGGATCCTCTGCTGTCCCAGAGGGACTGATCACTGGCCACATACCATCAAACGCCATGCTAATAAAACCCAGCTGAGCTTATTTTGACTAATTAGCACACTTAACATATATAAGGCCAGCTGGGCAGATCTGGATGACTGCTGCGGAGTTTGTGGTGGTCCCCTGGGTGAGGATTTGTGGGAATGAATGCAGAGGAATTTCAGTTTTGTTCCTTTTGGTTTAAAGGGATATAAGTATGAATGTAACCTAAGGAGCGTGTAACTTTGGTGGTTTACTGTAAGCGTTGCATGTAAGTCTCATTAAGGCTGTGGTTGAGAGACACATCTCAGAGAAACCGTGATCCTTCTCTTGAAAGGTCTTCAAAAACATGGACTCACTTCAGTCATTTTTTCCAATTAGGACTCTCCACCCCTTGCTTTGAAGGCTGTATCTGCCCTGCTGAGATAGATGAGTGCTCCTGGAACACTAATATATTTTGGCTTCTTCTCCCTGTCTTACTGGTTGCGAGGTGGCATCTTACCTTGTCGTCCAACTTTCTAGCACTGAACGAGAGCTCAACATAGTCATCGTTTCCTGACAGCTCTTCGGCAATGACCTGTGGGGCACCGAACAAAGAGTTAATGGAGCTTGCGGAATTGTGATTGTACTTCCCAGTGTCTGAGAACCCCTCTCCTGCAGTGGTGGATTTCAGGGGTAAAACAGAGGACCTGGTCTCCTGCCAGAACACCAAGAACAGTGATAAAAGTACAGCGCCCTCTAAAGTACAAGACCACACATTACATAAACGTGCAGTGAGTTACAGTACTGCTACAGTGCCTGGGAATAAAAGCACAATGGCTTCTACAATGAGACCGATACAGTGTGTCTCATAAACAGCAAACCAGAACCTCACTGTCTAACCATGTAACTGTCAGCAGAGCACCTGGGCAATAAATAAATGCTAAAAATAATCATGTGACATCAGGTTCTCTGATCTGAGACGTAACGTACCAAAGAGTGTTTCGCAATAAACCCAGAATGTGAAGGTGAACATGGATGAGTTTAAAGGCGGACGTGTCTGACAGCTGGACCAGGAGCTGCGGAGCAAACCCTCACCACAGGGAACGGGAGTGCTCAGCTGCAGCTGATCCTTCTGGCTCCTTATAAATTAAGCTTAATGAATGAAGTGACAAGTGTAATTGCATCAACAATTAATTATATGGTCTGCAACTTAAATTGTAACCAACCTGTGGGCTGGTAGACTTTAATTTATAAAATGTCTCCACAAAAGGGAGAAAAATAGCCGTTTTGGTTGCTCTGTCACTCTCGGCCGTTTCTCCCACATTTAAATGCTTGTTTCTCTATTCAGTCTGTCCCTCTCCTCCCTCTCCCCTCCTTCCAAATGTCCTTTGGTGCTCTGATTACAGAGAGCTCTGCTCCGGCTGGTATCTAAGGATGGGATCCCTGAGACACTGTTTCTCATGGATGTTTCAGTCACCAGAGCTTGCTGACGTTTCTCCACCTCCGACTCTTGCTGCTTTGGACACAGGCGTCTGTCTGCTGCTTTTGTGGCTGCTGTTGAGCCCCAGTGTTTATGTAGCAGCTTTTTCTTGGGGGGCTTGAATCAAAATGCGTTTAGGAACAATGGATAAAATGCATCATAAAGACTTCAGGGCGAACAATGCACATCCAGTGACTTGTTCAGTGGTAATTATTTTATCCCGCTGAATTCGCATTCGTCACATTGTCGTACAAATGTATATGTGCCCCCCCCCCAAACATCTGTACTGCTACGAGTGACAGCACTTTGATGACCAAGCAGCGGGCTGGTGAACATCAGTGTGAACACAGTGTCAACCCTGAGGAAAGTATTACTGCGCGTTTTCATCATCCGAGTGGCTTTGCTAATACGGCTGAGCATGTGCCTCACTGAGTATTATTCAGACACACAAATCTTTGTATTTCTCATTTCTACTTGACTTGATCTAGCTGGGTGTTCATTAGTAAAAAGGTAGCGGTGCAGGGGGCTCCCGGCCCTTTAGGAAATGGACTGGAACAGGGGAGCATGGGGACACGCCCCCTCCGTCCAGTGGCAACAAGACTACCTGGGTGAAACAGGCTCACCGTGATGGAGGACTTCCCTGCTGTGTTCCCCTGCTTCAGGAGGCTTTTGGAAAGCTTCCTCTGGGACACGATCTGTTTGGGGGCGATAAGAGAGCGAGAGAGGTGTCAGGCAGCAGACAGTCAGCCTGGCTAGGGGGGTTTCAGCAGGTGAATCGACTCTGAGAATAAGGGAACCACATCAAGGAGACTCGTCTGTCCCTCCTTTCTGAATGGTGTCCTGCTTTCACGGGGGGGGTTGGGGGTGCAGCAGGCGTGTGCCATTCAGGACGGAGTGGAAACACATGTGAAAGGGGCGCGGAAATAACAGCAAAGGGGCAGTGTGCTGGAACCGGAACAAACGGCCATGTATCGTTCTGTTCAAGCTGCTGAAGAACAAAGCTGTAGCCTCAGCAGACACAGTGGGATCTCTGCAGACTTCTGTACTTACAAAGCGTTTCAAAAGGAATCCAGCCCACTAATCCTGATCAATACCAGCAGCTGTGGCTATTAAGAATGCCCCATCTCCCCCATCTCATTCCAGCTACTTTTCTCATCCTAACTGTTCTCCGATGATACCCGGCCAAACAAGTCCTTCGTGGAACCTCTGTTTATCGCTGGTAAAAAGCGCCGGCGGGCTTTGAGGCAACGGCATTCATAATGAAGGACATGTGACTCCTAGAGGAGCCATGAATGAGAGACGAATGCTTATGGAGCTGGAGACCTTCCAGCGTAAATGTTTGTCCAATCGCCGTTTGCCGCGCAGCACGTTACGATCGAGGGCTCCGCAGAAGCACCTCTGGGACCAGCTAAAGTTCTTGCACTAGTGTTGCATTTCACTTTCAACAGCCTGCAGAAAGTGTGACACAGCACAATACTTGGAAATGGGACACAGGCAGGGGCCTGGTAGCTTCCAGAAGAGAGAAAGGTACAGACAATTGGCCTGTTCTCTCAGTGTTATCTTTGGTAGCCTGGGAACCTTCTTGTCATTCAAGTGCGCTAAAGAATGGAGGTTTGCCTTTGTGTTTTACACTTTCCTCCAAACTGCTCCTAGAACATTCCAAAGTGTTAGCTTCTCAGGTGCTTATTTGTCCCATCTGGGAAGACAGTAACACCTTATGGCCCCACCCACCTGGCCCAGGGTGCACTCCATGGCCCCCAGGAAGTCGGCCTCTCTGATTCCATTATGGGTGCTGCTGATGTCATACAGGTCAAACCGCAGTCTCTGCACCTCTTCAAAGTAAAAGTCCACGGTGAACACCTTAGAGAAGGTGGGGTGAATGGAGCTTCGTATCACCTCCGTTCTGTCCACCTGGAGGTGCACAGGATTTCAATGTCAGCTCATGACATGAAATTCTGAACATGATGAGGTAGGAACACACACCGTCAGCATGAGCAAAGATCACGCATGGAATGTATGATGGAATGTTTCCCACAGTCCAGGGGGTATACTATTGTTTCACTATGCTTCACATACCGTTTTGGACATAAACTTAACCTGAGAATCAGTAGCATACAATTTATCAACATAATGTCCTGTGCAGGAAGGTGGAATCGTAAAACCTACTTAAATGATATGCAGGGTCCTGAAATGCTCCTTACTTGTTCTGACCCTTTCATGTGTCTTTCTGTTTCTTTGTCTCACTATTACATCTATGTACGTATCTGTCCCCTAATGCTTAACCGGAGATACTCTTTGGACTGCAGTGAATAGAGCTTGGCTTACTGTGGAATTCCGAGGCACTGGGGACATCGAGGATAAATCTTTCCTGAAAGTTAACAGCTTCCTGAAAGGAGTCACCAAGCCTTATATAAGTTCTCTAATGCAGACCCAAGAGAAACCCAGTCACCTGAAACAAGTGACATGCATCTATCAGGCTGATAGAGATATTTACAGTAAAGTTTTAAATTTGGCCTCAGTCAAATGCAACTTTAAGATATATTAAGTCTGTCTACCCAAAACAATTCTTCTGACCTTGAGGACAGGAATGTATGTTAACTGGCTTTCCAGAACTCGTCCACAGTTGTTCAAGTGACAACACGTAAGACAAGTCCCATAATTTACAGTAGTCTGATGACTGAGGAACTTAATTTGCACTTACTTTCTCTGAGGGAGTCGTGTTTTGCAGTCTAGCTGGTGCTTGGTATTTAAACATCTAATTTTTTAAAATTAGCAGCCATATGTGGTGTGAATGGATGACATCATAATACAGTGATGTAGTAATCAGGTCACATTTCAATCTAAGATTCTGCATATGCCGAGTCTCACACAGCTTTCTTTGATCTCACAAAGCCTAAAGTGGTGATCTCCAGAGGCCAAAAACGCAGCGTTCCTGCTCTTTTCATCCATGACAGTGTTACATCCTGTCTGCAGCTTTAGCGACTTTCCCCCTTTTTAGATGTCAATTAAAAACAGCTTTCTAAAAATACAGGCCTTTTCCTTGGGCGCGTAATTAAATTGAGGTGAAAAAGGCTCATTCTCTCAGCCGTGAGCTTTCAGCACGATTCTGCGAGCAAAATTCCCAGGCTGTCTTTCAAACAGACATAAGGGCAGGATTCTCCACACCCGCTGTCTTTCCTCTGTCGATGGTCCATGCTGCGCTGAGCAAAGGCCCCCTGTTGTCTAAGGAGACCGGAAATATATCAGAGGTCCACATCCTTGGCTTTCCCTCCCTGCCCATGACATGTACATGCTGCAAAGCTTGGCACAGACCCATGATTCAGGGTGTACTAAGAAAGCAAGGAGGGGAGAGGAAGAAACACAAGGTTTGTGAAAATATTTATCAACATGTAACCCTCAGCCTGTGAATTCTCGACCAGCAAGGTACCGCTGAGGTACCCTGAGCAAGGTACCACCCCCAAGCACTGCTCCCCGGGCGCTGAATTAGCTGCCCCCTGCTATGTCACATTGTCACATATGGGTTAAATGCAGAGGACGCATTTCGCTGTTGTGCACTGTGTGCTGTGGTGTGTCAACAATGACCACTGATCACTAAATTGTAAAACTCTGATACACAGGAGGACCAGGACCTGGGAGGGTTCTGCATCCCACACACGCGCGCAAACAGACAGATTCAGTGTTTGGCCGTGTAGATGTACGCAAGCAGACAGGTTCAGTGTTTGGCCATGCAGATGTACGCAAGCAGTCAGGTTCATTGTTTGGCTGTGCAGATGTACGTAGGCAGACAGGTTCAGTGTTTGGCTGTGCAGACGTACACAGGCAGACAGGTTCATTGTTTGGCCATGCAGACATACGCAGACACATACCTTTATATTCTTGACTTTATGGAGACTTTCCCTTTGCTCTGATTTTACTGAAATGAATAAGCTATCCATCTTCCAACCATTTATCCTCGTGGGGTAATTAATAACCCCTAATAACCCCTAACCGAAAACACTAAATTCAAAAATACATGGATATTAGAATACACACACACACACACACACACACACACACACAAAACTGTGTTCCTCCTCTGTACCTCCATGGTAAAAGTTCTGCAGTAGTCATCTGGAGACACTATATACCCATTGGGTAGTAGGAGGCACTTTGGCGACAAGCCAGCAAGCAGAAAGCCCTCATCTCATGGGCGTTTCACTGAGGGAGANAGTAGGAGGCACTTTGGCGACAAGCCAGCAAGCAGAAAGCCCTCATCTCATGGGCGTTTCCCTGAGGGAGGCTCATCGCATGTCATACATTGTCCGTCACACAAAGGCAGCCCAGTGACTGTTGATGACCCTGGTGATGGTCTTGATGTTCTACAACTACCCATACCACAGTTAGCTTGTGATGTTCTGGCTTCTGGAGCCTTTAATGGATGGAGAATCTTCAGAGAGATGTATAATCACAGAACCGTACGGGGGAAGACTGTAATCAGGTATTATGCGTATCAAAGAGACAGCCATCTGTTGGTGGGGGTCCAGCAACAACAAGCAGATGAATAAACCCTTTATTGAGCGTGAAGAAAAGAGAGAAACTGCCAAGAAGTATCTGACTTAAACAGTCGGAATTCCCAAAGGAATCCCCAGTGCCTGTTATTTTAAAAACTGTCATAAACACGACACAACTTCTGTTGTATCTGATTACTGCTGACACTGAGATTGCTATAATTTCTTGGTTTAAAATTTAGTTCTTTATACATTTATGCAGCTCAGTATTTTATAGTAGAAGCTTCTAGTGAGGAGGCCAAACCTGGAGCCCAGGACATGGAACACTTGCATCATCAAGGGCACTGAACCTCCGACCTGGGACACCTGCATCATCAAGGGCACTGAACCTCCGACCTGGGACACCTGCATCATCAAGGGCACTGAACCTCCGACCTGGGACACCTGCATCATTAAGGGCACTGACCCTCCGATCTGGGACACCTGCATCATCAAGGGCACTGACCCTCCGATCTGGGACACCTGCATCATCAAGGGCACTGAGCCTCCTATCTGGGACACCTGCATCATCAAGGGCACTGACCCTCCGATCTGGGACACCTGCATCATCAAGGGCACTGAGCCTCCAATCTGGGACACCTGCATCATCAAGGGCGCTTACCCTCCGACCTGGGACACCTGCATCATCAAAGGCACTGACCCTCCGATCTGAGACACCTGCATCATCAAGGGCACTGACCCTCCGATCTGAGACACCTGCATCATCAAGGGCACTGAGTCTCCGACCTGGG